AAGACAGGGCTTCTCTATGTATCTCTGGCTGTTTGGAACTCATTCTGTAGTTCAGGCTGGGCTCAAACTCAGAGATCTGCCTGTCTCTGCCTCTGCCTCCTGAGTGCTGCAGTTAAAGAGGAGTGCCACCATACCTAAGTCCTGTGCAAATGCTGGGAAAAAAAAAAGATAAAAATTGTGTGTGTGTGTGTGTGTGTGTGTGTGTGTGTGTGTGTGTGTGTGTCTGTCTGTCTGTCTGTCTGTCTGTCTGTCTTGTGTGTAGGTGGCTGCAGAGGCCAGGGGATTACTTCAGATCTTCTGGAGCTGTAGTTTGTGTTTATGAGGTATCTGATGTATGTGCTGGGAACTGAACTCCAGTCATCTGGACAAGCAGCTAGTGCTCTTATTGCTGAGCCATCTCTCCAGCCCCACTGTACAAATTCTTAACCGTTTGATAAATTCAGATGGTCTCTCTTTTTCTTTTGTTGCTGTGTTTGGTGCTATGGGTAAGGATCCCTGGTCATAGCCGTTTGCTTACCTTCTATGGTTTAGCTCTTCTGTTTTTGTCATTAACATGTTTTAAGTGAATTTTTGTACCTTGTCTACTCAGTCTTCTGCATGTGGGTTTAGTTTTGTTTTTTTAAAAAGTAATTAATAATACTGTAAATCCCAAGTTCTGGGATTTACAGATGTGGGTACCACTCCTGGCTTCAGTTTTTCATGAAGTAAAATAAAATCTGACACTGATAAATGTCAGAGGTGAAAGGAGAGTGTGTCATATTGGTCTTTAAAAAAGAAAAGAAAAATCTTAAATGTGTCTTTGGAAGTGTACACAATCACTTGGCAGTTTAGACCTTTTCAGCTATTTTTCTGTGTTCTGTAAAATATAAGGTCTTATTTGAAAGAATTCCTAGGAATGTTTTAGGCAAGTGATTGCCCACATACTGCTGACCTGGTGGCTCTGCTGCCAGAGAAATACAACTGGCAGTTATCAACTTTCCTTATGTTCTTTTTCATTTGTCTAGTTTTCATGTCTGTAGTTTGTAAATACATAGAAAAAGATGTGCCCACATAAACAGAATCAGCAGTTTGTTAGAAGTGAGGTGTAGAGCAGGATGAACTAAAGCTTTTTTTTTCTCTGTTAGTCTCATGTTGTTTAAGCATTAAGGATATTCTGTATTCTTTTTGCAGGTTAACTCAGAAAGAGAATGTGGTTCAGACAATGTGCTTAGCATGCTCAGAGCCATGGTTTCAGCCCCCAGATAAATTAAGTAAATAAGCAAATAGATAGATAAAATAGCAAACAGTGTAAGAAAATTCTAGTAGCTTGTTGCGGCAGGAGTGATGTCTCTGGCCAAAAGAGCAGTGACCCTGGGCTCAGTTCCCACCCACATAGTGGCTTACAGCTGTCCATGACTCCGTTTTCAGGATATCCAACATCTTTTTCTGACCTCCATGGACACCATGTATAACTGCTGCATATACAGTCATGCTGGCAAACATGCACACATAAGTACATCTCTGAAAAGGGAGGGGAGGTCCCCCATTTATTCTTCCTTTTTTAAAATGTTTTTTCTTATTTTATATATCGATCGCAGTTCCCTCTCCCTCCTACCCTTCCATGCCCCCCTCCCCCACTCTCCATCCAGTCCCCAGGGAGGGTGAGGCCTTCCAGGAGGGATCATCAAAATCTGTCAAGTCATTTGGAGTAGGGTCTAGGCCCTCCCTCCTATCTCTAGGCTAAGGGAGTATCCCTCCATGGGGAATGTGCTCCCAAAGTCTTTTCGTGCACCAGGGATACATCCTGGTTCCACTGTCAGAGGTTTCTTAGACTGCCCAGGCCTTCTAGCTGAGACATACCTTCAGGGGGCCTGGGTGGGTCCTATGCTGGTTTCCCAGCTATGAGTCTGGGGTCCATGAGCTCCCCCTTGTTCAGGTCAGCTGTCTCTGTGGAGCCCCATTTATTCTAATTACACATTTTAACACTCGGCTACCCCACAGCAATGCTGTTTCAATTTTGACTTTAAAGCAGATTTTTAAAAAACTAAAACAGCTGATAATTTTATTTTCACATTTTATCATACAAATGAAAATTGTAATTTTTTTTTTATCCAACTTCTCCCCTTCAGAACTATTCTCTTTGGTAGGAATGGGGAAGTCTTCTTTATCACACAGCTGGGAAACCCTCAGGCTCAGCACCTGGATTTCCTGGTGAAGGAGAATAAATAAAATAAAGCCCATGAGGAACCCAGCTACTCTGTCTAGCTTGGTCATTCCAAGCTGAGTGGGCACTGTTGTGGGGCCAGCAAGACATCTCATTTGGAGGCATCTTGGGCATGTGGTCCCCCACGTTTGGCTCTATTCCAGGAGCCAGTCCCCTGAGCATCGTCCCAGGAGGAGGAGGGTCCATCGTTGGCATCATGGAAGGGCCTGTCATATGGGGAGTGGGTATCCTACCAGATGGAGAAGGACCAGAGACTGGGAGGAAGCAGGATCATAGTCCTGCAGAAGGAGGAGCAGAGAATGAAGCTGGAAGTATCTTTCCCTGTTGAAATGCAGCTGTTGTTTTGTTAGTCAGGCCCTTGATCTGCTTTTCCATCTGTTTCTGTTAGTTTTTGCATCCTCTTTTGCCTACCACCATAGCGTGTCTTTCTCATAGATGGAGAATCAGGGGTAAGATATGTATTTGTGGTGGTTTGAGTAAGAATGGCTCCCATAGGCTTTTAGATTTGAATGCTTGGTCACCAGGGAGTGACACTATTTGAAAAGATTAGGAGGCCTGGCCTTGTTGGAGAAAGTGTGTCACTGGGGATGGGCTTTGAGGTTTCAGAAGTCCATGACAAACCCAGAGTCTCCCTCTTGGCCAGAAGATGAGGATGTAGCTCTCAGCTACTTTTGTATCACCATGTCTGCTTGTGTGCATTGTACCTATGAAACTGTAAGCATGCCTCAATTAAATGTATTCATTTATGAGTTGCTGTCTCTTCACAGCAATAGAACAGGAACTAAGAGTAGTCACAACAAAACTTGGGCATGTTGCTCTGCAGGCTGTTGGCCACCAGGAAATGATTAAGGCAGATTTTTTTTTTTAATGGTGGAAATGTACAATTGATTAGAAACAAGTAATATATGTCTAGTATATAATAGCACTTTAAGAAATATTTATGCTTTATTGTTATTTATTTTATTTGTATGAGTATATGTGTATATGTTTAATATGGTAGATGTGTATATAGTGTATGCAAATAGGTGTGTAGGTGCATACATCCCTCTGCTTGCTTGGAGATAAGAGGAGGCTATTGGTTGTCCTGTTTTGTCACTCTCTACTCTATTCCCGTGAGACAAGTGTCTCCCTGACCCCAGAGCTAGGTGGCAGTCAGTAAACCTAGTCAGCCCTCATCTCCACTCTCCACAGCACTGGAGTTACAAGTGCAATGGGGCCATGCCCAACTCTTCACTTATATCTGAACTCAGGTCCTCATGTTTGTTTACAGCAAATGCTCCTGCCCACTCATCTGTCTTTCCAGCCCCAAATGGGAATATTTTAGGGATATTAAGGTATTTAACATTCTGAATAACTGAACTGTTAATTGAATCTAGTCTTTAATACTTTGAAATACGGAATTTTTGAGACTCTGTACCTTTTAAATATTTGAGATGATTCCTTGCTTATAAATGTCTGTAGCTGGTTAAAATATGTCCATTTCCAACTTCTGTAGTTGAGTTTAATTTCTTCTAACCTCAAGATACAGCAGAAATGAAATATTTCTTTATCCTCAAGTGTTTTTTTTCCCCATAAGGTTTTGTTGATCTTGGGAATGACTGCTATGATCTGTGAAATTTTTTATCACTAGGATTTTAAAATTTATATTGATTTAGTGTGTGTATGTGTGCATGCATGCACGTGTTCGTGTGCATGCGTGTGTGTGTGCGTGCGCGCGCGCACACACATGCACGTGTGTATAGGCCAGGGGCCAATGTTGGGTGTCTTCAATTTGAAATGAGGTCTCTCACGAAATCTGGGGCTCACAGGTTATCCTGGCCATTTTGCTGGTGAGCATCAAAGAAATCCCCCCCCCCCCATCTCTGCCTCCCTGGTACTGGGATTATAGGAGAGCACCACCACACCCAGCCTTTATTTGGGTGCTAGAAGTCCAAACCTGTGTCCTCACACTTGCATGACAAGCACTTTCTGACTGAGCCATCTCCCCAGTCCCATTTTGGGGTTTTGAATTGGGGTGCTCAGTATATTTTGAAAGAGTCTTGACGGTGCACTGGGAAGTCTTTTCATTTCCCATTTCTTCTGTTCTCTTCTCCTGAATCTTCTTAGTTAAACTCATTCACTATTTACTTTTATGGGTCTACAACTGGTATCTGTTCAGTTATCTGTCTGAAAAGTAATTGACTAGTAAAAGTGATATTACAAAGTTTTGTTTTTTTTTTTTTTTTTGTAAAATTGAAAGTAGCCATGGAATTTTCATCCCCCATCCTCAATTCTTCCTGGAAGGACAGCTTGTAGATGTGAACTCTACCTTTAGTGCTGTTTTCTATCATTAAGAATTATGTTTGAGAATTTCATCCATTGAATACTGTATTCACATCATTTCATCCCTCCCCCTGTCTACTGTAATTTTCCTGTCTCTCTCAACTCCCTTTCATATTCCTGACCTCTTCTTGTTTAGCTACTGTTACTACCATTGCTGCGTGTTTCCTTATAGGTGTGAGAGCTGCGTGGACTTACTGTTCGTGAGAGGGGCTGGAAACTGCCCTGAGTGTGGTACTCCACTGAGAAAGAGCAACTTCAGGGTACAGCTCTTTGAAGATCCCACCGTCGACAAGGAGGTTGAGATTCGGAAAAAAGTACTAAAGATGTAAGTGTTATTATTGTCAAGGGATTAGAGAACTTCAACAGTTATTTCAGTAGTCATCATTATTTGCTCATGTAATTTTGAACAGATTGACAGGTAACAAAGTAGTTATAAAATTATCTCCATAACTGTAATATCTAACATTTGTTATAGAAAAACTGTCTTCATGAATTTGTGTGTCATGCTTGCATAGGGGCCATGCTGATCTTCTCTGTATTGTTCCAATGTTAGAACATGTGCTCTTGAAACAAGCACAGGGGCTTTCTTGGTGTTTTCAAAGTTTATCCGCTTGCTATCTGTTATTTAACACCTGTGTTATATGTATTAGCAGTAATTAAGAAGTTGCATGTAAAATAGCTATAAACCTTGTTCTCATGAGGCTCACTAGTTAAAGTAGCGTAGGATATTAAGGAGATAGAAAATACCGTAGCAAACAAAACAACTGTACTATAAGGACTGGAGAGGTAACATTTAAGTTTCACTTTGAAGTTTATTTACACCGATTAGTTATACTTCATTTAGGCAGTTTTTGGATGCATTTTTATGATATGTTAGTTTTGAGTTTCATTTTATTTGCCCTTTTGTTATAAGGTATTTTATTATTTTTAAATTAATACATTAAGGTTTTGTTTTGCTTTGTTTTGTTTTGTTTTTGATGTTGGGGATTGAACCCAGTGCCTTGGGTACTCTAAGCATATGCTGTGCCTCTGAGCTGCACATCGAACTCATGCTTTACCTTTTTTTTTTTTTTTTTTTTTTTTTTTACCCCCTGAGGCAGAGTTTCTCTGTGTAGCCCTAGCTGGCCTGGAACTCACTCTGTAGACCAGGCTGGGCTTGAACTCAGAGATCCACCTGCCTCTGCCTCCAAAGTGCTGGAATTAAAGGCATGCAGCACCACCACCTGGCAAAAAATGATTGCTTTATTTGGATATTGTCTGCCTTGTGAGAGTGTACGTGTGGGTATGTACATCTGAGTGCTGATGCTCTGGGAGCTTCGATGTTGGGTTGGAGCCACCCAGAGCTGAGTTATAGACAGCTGTGAACTACCAGATGTGGGTACTGGGAGCTGAACTCAGGCCCCCACAGGAGTAGTACAGATTCAGTTTTCTTTCTTTTTCTTTCTTTCATGTTATTAGTTTATTTATAAACTTATCTAGTGTAAGAATTCCAAAGTTTGCTCCATATTTTAGAGATCACACCTCTTAATCATTTTTTATATCTGTTAAAACAATGAATTAAACATCCTTGTTTATTAAGTAGTTGGTGTCTTACTATAAAGAAGGTATGGTGGGTGTACAGCTGGATGGTGGTGGTAAAGTGCACCTTTAGTCCCAGCATTTGGGGAGCAAAGACAGGAAGATCTCTTTAAGTATGATGCCAGCCAAGTCTACTGAGTGAATTCCAAGACAGCCTCCAAAGACACAGAAAAACCCTTTCTCTAAAGCACTCCCCCCAAAACACACACACACACACACACACACACACACACACACACACACACACACACACACACACACACAGAGACAGAGAAAGGTGCAGCAAACCCAGATCCAAAGGATGAGGTCCTCAGAGCCAGTAGCCACCATTTGTTTTTCAATGAAAGTGAGAAATTCTTCTCCAGACCCTCCTCATAGTTCCTGCCACAGTTCATGGAGATGGTGGGCCCCAGATGCTCTGGCCAGCATGTCACTGCTGAGAGTTCTGCAAGGAGCACAGGGAAGGAAGGCGGAAGAAAGGGCTATGGCACTCCTGTTTCCTTTCCTCATGACCTTGCTTTCCTGAGTGTAATACAGGCTCCTAACCACTGCACCACCTTTCCAGCCCCTTTTAGTTGTTATTTGGGAACATACATTTTACTAATGGCTTAGTGACATTCTCCTAGACACTGCATCGATAATACTTCATCAGTGGCCTGCTGACCTTTATTTGTGTTACTTCAAGGAGCCCTCTTTTCATTTTGATCTCTTACTTTTCACCTTTTCAGATTTGTTATTATTCACAGATACATTCCAATATTTATATATTTTATGGAAGATTTTTAGGCCACTTTTTTCATGAAAAACTGAATCTTTTCATTTGAGCTCCAGTTTTTTAGAATTAATGACTACAATAAATATTGTAATTTGTAATGCTATGTCTTATTTAAGTTCATTTCACATCCCTGAAGCACCTCATTAAATCTCTTTTTTCTTTAAGTCCTTTAAGAATTGTCATGTGATAGAATTCTCTCCCGATTCTACATCTTCTCTGTAATCATACAAATTTTTAGGACAGTGCTTGCAGGCACAGCTCAGTGGTAGAACACATGCCTATCATGAACAAAAGTCAACCTTCCACATGCCACAAGAAACCCCAGAAAACCAAACCAAACCAAACCAAATCATACCAAACCAAACCAAAAATCAACCCAACAAAACCTCCCTCAAACCCAGCTTGCATTCTTGGTTTAGTTATAAGCCTAGCATCAAGAAAACAATGTTTTACACAGTAAACAATCTCTTCTGTATATATCATGCATGTATTAAGTAGGGATGAGCAAGCTGGTTATATAAAAATGTCCTACAATGATATGTAATATTTTTTTCCCTCTGTAGATACAATAAAAGAGAAGAAGATTTTCCTAGTCTAAGAGAGTACAATGATTTCCTGGAAGAAGTGGAGGAAATTGGTAGGTTTAAATTAGATGTGCTAGCCTTGAGATCTTGTGCTGTTATTTTTGGAATGCCTAAACAGTGTCTCACACAGAAGATTCCTGATGGCTATTGTGGTAGCTGATGTTTATAGGTTACTTTCTTTTACAATGGAATTACATTTGTCAGATTTAAATCATACATAATAAAGGGGGTTCATAAGTAATTTTTGTCTTAGAGAAATTATTATAGAGGGAATACTTTTTAGCTGGGAAGAAGGGTGTGTCTGCATGCACCAACTCTACCAAGCAGTCTAAGCAAAAGGAAATACTTTTACTTTGTAGTGTTTCTGTTAACTTAGTGATAACAAAAGATAAAAATGTTTATTACTGTTTATGCTTCTGTGGAACAGTAGGTTGGGAAGACTTTAGCAGGTAACCGTGGAGTAGCATTTTATGTCAGTGTTCCAGGCAGACGTAGATTGATCTCGGCGCTTCTTCTCAGTGTGTTGTCTCTGCTTGCCTCCCTCACTTCCAGTGCTGGCTAGGGAGTGAGCCTTGTTTCTGGTTTGCTACAGAGAATTTCAGAACTGTTACAAGGTATGGAAGTTGTGCTGTATTGATTAAAAAGTTATGCTTTTTGAAGTTGTGATGATGGGAGCTGTTGAGGTGACTCAGTTTACTGCCATGCCTGAAGACTTGAGTCCCCTTCTGGAAGCCACAAAGTGGACGGAGAGCACCAACTCCCCAAGTGTCTGACTACCACACTAAATGAATGCAAAGCACACATTAAATTAGTAAATATAAAACAAAAAGTTACTGTGGTTATTACAAAGTACATGTTTGGAAATGATAGACAGATGTAGCTTATAAAAATTAGACTGAAACTGTAAGGATAAAACAGTCATTTTTTTGAATTCTCCAAATTCATAACTTTATTATTAAAATATGATATAAAGAATCATTAGAAGGTTTTTACATGTGGCAACTTCAAATCTTTAGGTATTAATGTTAGAATTTTAAAAAGTTTCCTTCTGAGAAAGTCTAGATATCTCTTATCAGGACTTTTCTAAAATGTCCAAGTTATTTGATATGCTACAGTAGAAGCATGTGCAAACTTAAAAGTTTTTTTCTGATATATTTTAGTACCTTAGATCTGTTGCTTTTTTATTCTCAATGTACTTGTAAGTGCTTTGTATATATTAGCAGCCATGAGTACATGTTGGTTTGACTAAGATGGTAGAATTGTGAATGCTGATGCAAATGGGCACGTTAGATACAGACGGAGAACGTGCTCAGTTGTAGCACAAGCAGGAGAATTGCCATCACAAAGAAACTGTTTGCATACATATTAAAATCAATGTGATTAGTCAAAACTCTGGTGATATAATGAAGGGAAAAGAGATTATAGCTCTTACAGGGCAAGTTGAATACATGGTTGCAGTTCTAACCAAGTATTCTAGGTACCTAAGGAAATTGAAGGGCAAAGAAACTGTGGGCCAGGTTTAAGGGATGAAAGAGCAAGGGGACTGTTAGGAGTAAGGCTTTTCCTGCCGGCCTGGACCCACCGCGGTGCCAGCCCCAATTAACACACACAGACTCTGTATTAGATATAATGCTGTTGGCCAGGTACTAGTTTCTTATCGGCTAGCTCTGTCTTAATTATTAACCCATTTCTATTAATCTAAGTATTTCCACGTGGTCTCATCTTACCAGAGAGTGGGGCTGGCCTCTGCTCTCTCCAGTCTCTACATGCTGACTCCTTACTACTTCCTCTCTCCTCCTTTCTCCTAGTCCCTCCTATCTTCCTTTCCTATTGGTCAACAGTGCTTTATTCATTAACCAATAAGAGAAACATATTTACAGAATGACATCTCCCATCAGGGGACCTTGATTTTCATGACGTTCTGGTTGAACCTATTTATGTTTTTTGTTCCCCTCCCTCCCCCCCCACATGAGGTGAAGTAATTTGAAGGAATGAGCAACCCTGAGCCCACAAGTTTGTGTTTAGAAATAGGCACTAGTAATAGTAAGCTTGGATAGTGTGATTATACAACATGCAATATTTTCTTCCTTTTCTTTGAGATGGAGTTTCACTATGTAGCCTTGGATGTTTTTCTGATAACTGTTATGGAAGTCAGGTTGATTTTGAACTTTCAAAGCCTTCCTGCCTCTGCTTCCCAGAGTCTGAGATTACAGGCATGCACCATCATACCTGGCCTGTAATATTTTCTCTTTCTCTGTGTATATGTGCATGTGGGTATACATACCCATGCCAGAGGTCAATGTCGGGTGTCTATTTCTGCCATTCTTCACTTTCTTTTTTGAGACAGGGTCTCTTGCTGAATGTGGAGCTCACCTATTGGCTAGACTGGCTGGTAGCAAGCCCCTGGGATTTTCCTGTCTCTGAATGCTAGTGCTGGGGTTAGAGGTATATGCTGCTGTGGCTTGGTTTTTATGTCAATGCTGGAGATTCAAACTCAGGTTCTTGTGCTTGTATAGCAAGCACTTTACCCAGCAAGCCACCACCTTACCCTGTAATACTTTACTAGATATGAACCTATAGACCAGTGCATTCGATTTGAAAATGATCATGCTGTTATATACATTTCATGAGTTGTATCTG